GCGAGAAGATTCTTGGACCAGACCACCCAAACACCCTAACAAGTGTCAACAACCTGGCTGATGTGCTGCAATCCCAAGGAAAGTACGACGAATCAGAGAGGATGCATCGGCGTGCATTGGAGGGGCACGAGAAGATATGTGGACCAGAGCACCCAGACACCCTATCAAGTGTCAACAACCTAGCTCTGGTGCTACAAGACCAGGGAATGTACGACGAATCAGAGAAGATCCATCGGCGTGCACTAGAGGGGTACAAGAAGATTCTTGGACCAGATCATCCAATTACCCTAGCAAGTGTCAAAATCCTGGCTACGGTGGTGCGGCTCCGGAGCGGGCGTGGCGTTTCAGGTACGATAAGGCGCCGTCCACGGCAGGAACTCCTAGTAAACCTTGATAATATCCAGTCCCAATCCGCTGGCCGTGCCCCCCGTCGTTCCCAGAGGAACACAGTTCTCCGCCGTTCACGCAGGATCGCTGCCCGCCGCCAGGTCGGCGAGCCGCCGAGGTGATTCGCCGTTTCAGAGGATGTTCGGTTGCACCAGGTGTGTGGGTGGTGGGCTGCTAGCTCCAAGCGGCGGGGAGACAGTAGGAATATACCTGGCAAAAGTGGCAGACTGTGTAGGACCAAGTAGAATGACAAACTAGAGGTCAGGAGTGGCAGTTTGTTAGCGTGTGGTACGCAAGATGTGTTCGAAATTTTTACCTCTTTTGTCTATATTTATTTTCCTTTCTTTCCTTTTCTATTTTACCGAATTCTTAGTTGCTATGCCTTCCCACCCGATACGATAAATTCCTTAATCAGTCCTATCCTACTGCTCAGGATCATAAGAACTCACTCGTATGTTCTTGTTCAACAATGTATGCCAAAAGCTGAAACATGATGCGAATTACTGACCGCCCTCCCGTTCCCTCCCTGCTGGCAGATTTCCTGTCGGCATTCCCGTTGGGCGTTTTTGGCTATGCGTTCTAAAATAAAAAAAAGGCCGTGCGGTACACCTCTCCTCCCTGTGCTTCCGCCAAAGGCCTGATGCCATATCCACCCGTGCCCGTATGGGCTATGAAATTACGACCTGATTCATTACGGGGCACTACGGGCTGCCCGAACTGCCAACAAGTATTGGAAATCTGGCTATAGCGCTGTAGTATGCTAACGACAGCACAATGGGCGAGAGACGGCGAGTTGTCGCCCAGCGTACCGAGAAACACCAGTTCTCACTTGTTAGCAATTTCACAGATATGACTCCTTCTTCGGGAATTTGGCACTTATTCTCTTTATTTCTTGCGATTATGGGGTGGAAATATTCAGGTTCAGTTTACCGAGAAGGATGCAGTGCAGTGGCTCGTAATCAAGTTGAAAAGAACTAGGAGAGGGGTTAGATCTCTGGAAATAATAGGTGGCGGGGAGGGGAAAGTGGGTACTGGGGCACTGGACAGCGTGGGGAATCGAACAGGGAAGCGGGTGGGGCGGAACGGAGCGAAAGTGGAGAGCAGAGAGCGGGGACACGACAGCGAGGAGGAGAGAAGGAAAGAGAAGACTATGAAGAAGGTAGGAATCCGGGAGCAGTTTTCGGAGGCAGCCAGGCTGACCCGCACATCGCCTCTAGATATACAGTCTGGCCAGGCCAGGTAAAAGCGAGACCGGCGAGGGCGATACGGGCCCCCGGGGGCGGCTGTAGGCTTTCATAATTCGCCGTATATTTTTTTTGAATATTCTGTCAATGCTGAGTAGATATCCTGCCGCTATTGGTAAATATCCCGAGACTCCTTCGAATGTCTTGAAATATCTGCGTAAATCTGTAAATTCCCACGAATATAATATCTCGAGATACTTGCAAATTTTATCCGTTACTATGCTCGGCATGCTCTCACGATGGTTAGTTTTTTTGGTCGCATAGTTTTATTCTCTATGAGAGCGCTGTGGTCCCGGGCGCACTCCGGCTGCGGCATACCTTAGCTTCCACGCGCTCTGTTTGGCTTCCCGGGAAAGCGCTTGTGCCACGGGAATCCCCGGAGGTCTTGGAGAAGTGCATCCGCCAGAAGGAAGGCCGGAACGCTGGAGTGGAAGTAGAAAGGCCCTGACGGGGGCCGGGGGCTATGGGCGATGGGGGTTTTGTCTTTCTTTTCTTGTCTTTTATTTTCTGCCGGTGTGTGGGGGACGTACCCGCGGGGTTGGGACCTCGTTGTTTTAAAGCTCCCAATCGGCGAAGGCTATCGCGGGAGCGCAACGAACGAACAAACGGTGAACATAAGCAAATGGCGAACAGCGCAGCTAAGGCGCTTGGGTGGAACAAGCGAATGATAGCCTGTGAAACTAATCACCCTGTGAAACGGGGCAACGAACCGTCCGCTGGGAACATCGCGAAACGAAATGAAGCGAAACGAAACGCCAAGCTCACACACGTGAAACGGTCGGACAACCCACAAGGGAGGGAACTCTTCGCTCCGTCTAACTTACTCTATCGCGCACGCTAAACTAACTGTAATGATAGTAGTATTATATCAACCACGAAATTAACGAGGTCCTAATCCCTCAGGTACATCTCCTACACACTAGCAAACAAGAAAAGCTAACAAAGGAAAGACAAACTCTCGCTGCCCATAGCCTCCGGACCTTGACTTTCCGACCTTCCCCCCGGCCTTTCCGCTTTCTCCGCTTTCCCTCCCGCAGATTTATTGATCTAAGACTCCCGCATTCCCCTGGCCAAAGAGTTTTCCAGAAAAACCAAACTGCGCGCGCGGACCCTAAATTCCGCCGGCATTAGAGTGCCCCCGAACCCGAAACATGCTCTTAGAGACTGCGAAGAAACAAAAAAAACATCGTGAGAGCATGGCCAGCAGCCCCTCGCAATTTGCAACAGATTCGTAGGTTTACTCGTGGCTAGGTTGTGGCTAGGGTGCAGCAATCCCTACATGCCTACAAGCTCGCCTTCCGGGAGCCCAGTGCCTGCCCGCCCTGCACTATTATACTCTGCGGTTCCACATCACTTTATATCTGAAGGCAACTTTATACGAGTGTGGACCCCTGAAGCTAACAGACCCGACAACGTAACAAATTTATTACGTAGCTACCACGTAGAGTATTCCAATTATCTCCACAACAACACTCATTATGGCTTCCCCATTAGACGAAGAAAGTCTACTTTTATCTGCTTCCCAATACTATCATGAAGAAAATACATCTATCCGAAAAGCTGCCAGCCGCTACGGTGTCAAATACCACACCCTTTTCCGTCCACTACATGGTACGAAAACCCGAAAAGAAGAAGATGAAGATTGATGTGCTCTGTCTCGTGAGGAGGAGGAGGAGATAGTCAAATGGACGGACTATATGACCTCGACAAATTATCCCCCAACGGGTCCACGGTTGCATGCAATGGCAGAGCGCATCGCAGGGAGGAAACTTGGCAAAAAATAGGTGCAAAAGTTCAAGCATCGCCACCCATCCGTGAGAGTCAAACGAGCAGCAAAATTCGAGAAGAAACGAATTGAGGTTACAGCAGAACTAGTCCACGCCTTTTTTGAACGTTTCAAGCGCGAGTGTCAGCGATATTCTGTTGAGGATCGAGATATTTGGAACATGGATGAGACAAACTTTAAAGTTGGAGAACTTGCACGATTACGTCGTGTTTTTGTGTCTGGACCCAATTCCGACATGCCCCTGCGTGGATTTGCAGACGAGGGTGATAGTTTCACGATCATTGAGTGCATCAACAAGTTTGGCAGCTCTGTGGTACCAGCCTTTATCCTCAAAGGCAAAGTTACTGTTGAATCGCAGCTCCCAGCGGATGAACAGTTGGAATCACAATTCCGCTTTGCCATTGCACATACGGACTCCTCCTTCAATAATAAAGCTCATGGGTTTGAATGGTTGGCTCGCATATTTATCCCCTATACTCGAGGGAACACATCACGTCAACCATGGAGAGTACTTCTCCTTGACGGCCATGAATCTCATTTTTCTCCAGAGATGTGTGACCTAGCCTACTATAATCGAGTTCTCCTACTATTCTTCCTAGGGAAAGCCACGCATTTACTCCAGCCACTAGATATTGGTATTTTCGGACCCCTCAAGCAAAGTTTCCGTGCACTCATCGAAGCGGATGCTGCAGAAGGTGAACTACATGTAGACTGGTCAGATTTCTACAAAACCTATGAAAAAGCACGAAAGGAAACGATCACAGAACACCTCTGCCATGCAGGATTCCGTCATGCTGGCCTAATTCCACCTGACCCTCTCATCCCTCTCTCAAATATGAGGAACCCAGAATACCTCACGAATCTACTACCTACAATTGAGAACGAAGAGCAAGACAAAGGAAGCGGAGCATCAGACATTGACGAAGACGAAGAGGAGGATGAGATTACAGAAGCTTACCGACAGGGGGTTGCTGGTGCTCGGAGAAAAGACTTTCGTGATGTCTTCACCGCCCTGCGTCAACTGCGTGCAATTGCTCGCAAGCATGCTGCAGAGGCAAAAGTCAATGGAACACTCCAACGCCGTGCCGAAAACGAAATTCGAAGTCTCAAGAGGGCTAAGAGAAGCAAGAAGCAGGTCAGAACTGATCCAAATCAACTTTTCTGTACTCAGAGAGATATAATGAGGGCGCGTGGCCTTGAAGTCTCTTCCCCTATTCAACCAGCATCTCCAGTTCCTTCCTCCCCTCCTACGATAGATGCAGATAATTCACCTCATCAAGAAGTACCTGGAGAAATTGTTTGAAGGTGTTGCATTAATTTGTGGTTGAGTTATTGTACATTGTATTTGTAGGTAGCACTGGGCGGACTTGTTAGGTTGAGGGGTCTGTTAGCTTCGGGGGTCTGTACTCGTAGTTATATATGACGTAATTTATGGTGTAATGGCTCTTCACCCAGATGCGGCTCACCATGGCAACCACCGGAAAGCCAAATGTGTATTTGATTATCTACACAAATAATAATGATACCATATGGAAAATTTGTTAAAAAGTACTTTTAAATATGGAGAATCAGAATCTGGAGTTTTTATTTGATAATAAAGAATGATTCTTCTTGTATACTCAGTTTATTCTAAAGTGGCTCAAATATCATCTGGTTAGAATATTGAGTTAGGAAAATCAGAAATCCTTGCAAAAATACTAATTTAAGTAAATTGTATGATCTTCTAGGTCTTTTATTTGATGTGTTAAGTGTATTGGGATTTGTCTGTAGCTATTTTGGGGGCTATTGAGACTAAATAAAGGGCTAAAGCTAAAAATGTATCTTATAAACAGAAATAGATGATATTTACTTATAAGATTTATGTAATGTTACAATAATTTTTATTATACTTCACTAACATGATCTAAGACCTTATATAGGTTCTCAAGGCAGCAGGTTGAGTTCTGTAAATTTTATTCCCTTAATATTAAAAAGTAACTTGGAGAGAAATACTATCTTCAAGCCTCAACTGAGTAGGCTATATTACTAGAATAAGGTCCAAAGCAGTGCTTTCTAGTCTTCTCATATTGTTAGAGTTATTGAAAAAGTTTGAGTATGTTTAAACAATAGGACTTAGAGATATTAAACTCCAACTGCAATAATATGATATTTTAGCATAGATTTGCTGCTGTTATCTATAGAACCTGGACAACTTATCTATAATCCTAGAAACTTGGTATCATGAGTTAAGTAGTTGTCAAGAAGAATATTGGAAAGAATCAAATTCATATCTGATCTGTGTAAATAGATATAGCATAGTAAAAATGATATATTTTGTATGTAGTTTCCCTTCTCTCTTTCAGTTACTATAACATGCCAATAGGCTTATAAATTACCAGAAAGCTATGTTATTCTAAGTATATTAAGCCCAAATAATTACTCTATTAGGTTATAAAGGTTCTTCTATTTATATTTGAATTTTTACACAAGCTGTAAAAGTGTAATCTTGTTTAACACAACTATTCTTAAAACCTCTATACCAACAGTTATTTTGCTTATTAATAAATCAAACTACATATTCTGATTGTCCATATTTAAAAGTACTTTCTAACCAATTTCTATCCTGGTGGCATCGTTATCTTTGTCAATAATCAAGTATACATTACGTTTTCCAGTGGTTGCCATGGTGAGCCGCACCCCGGTCATGAGCCGCATCCCCGTAAATTACTTTATGCTTATTATAACTGTCTGTAGCGCTCTTAGTGTTTGTAAAAGAAAAATATCAAATCTAAGAATTAGATACATCAGTTGATGCAGTAGGGTTGTGGGCAATGGGTATACTACCGGTATCATAGTAGGTAAAATATTACATAATGTATTTGGATGGCGGGAAGGAAGTAGCTGCCTCATATCATGAAAGACCGGTACTGGAGAACCTCCGGGGATAGCAACCAAGTTAGGCTTTGGATATCATATTGGGAAACAAGACTTCATCAAGCAAAATGTTAGGTCGAGCCAGGACGTGCCGTTGAGCTGTCGGGCACTCAGAAGGAGAGCCGGTGAAACCCGAGTTTGCAAGAATGAGGGTGGTGTTGCCCTCAAGCCACAATCTCGGAGCGGGTACCGGTGCTTATGGATTCGCTAATTTCGAGTAACTTACGGTAATATATGTGGAACTACTCCAGTCGGCAAATCTCGGTGAATGTGACATTCCACTCACTGCAGTCACATTGGTGCAGGAACTTTGGTGCTTGCTCAATAAAACGAATTGAAGTCGTATATTCACACTTCTGCACGTTGGAAGCTTTTGTCTCTTCTAACCCTTGGTCGTAACTCGATTCTGATGCTTTCTCCGATTGCTGCTCCGTTCTTTTTCTCTCCCTTACTCCTTCTCCCACTACCTCTCAGGCAGCGGGCTTTATATACATCCACATCATAGTGTCTCCCATCCAGACCGGTCTCCTTGGTCATCTATATGACCCCGCCTTTTACCCCTCTTTTGTCTTCTTTCTGGTTCTACAGATATCGCTCTACCACGCTTTGTCAACCAATGACTTTCCTTCTTGCCCCCTCGTGTATTTCCTTTCCATGCCTTGCCCCGCAATATCAATCTATAATACACATCTGTAATAATCCCTAGAACTTTCCATCCTGCTTATCAATTTCCTCCTAAGTATTACAAATATCAGATACTCCCGGAGAAGTCTCCAGTCCTCCGAGTGGTTGTGGATAGGTAAGGGGTTAGTTGGAGTGCCGGTGATTTACAACACTCAAGTCTTCAGCTTAATAAATTTCAATGTATATCTATGCTCTGAGAATAGGCAGAAACAGCCTGATCATATTTGATCACTTGGAGGTCTGCTGATATCAGCCGTCCCCCTCGGCCAGGCCAAATGACCCTGCGGTCTAGGTAGGCTAGCTTTTAGAAAAGCCTAGGTGTGTCAGGTTGGTCCCAGGGCTTGGATGGACTGGGTACTTGACAATACACTCTTGAAGTTCAGCTGGTTTGTTCATACAGGGTTGTCGGTTTGCCAATAGACAACGTAAGTAGAAGGAGGGGACTAGAAAGAAAGAAACAAGCTGTCCCCAGATATAAGAGTTTCCTGTGGGTAGATTCGATGAATACCAACAATTCGTATAATGGTGTAGGTATTGTAATTCATATCGTATAGTCTGTGTTTTCAGCGCTCCAGAAGCTTCTTGTTCTCGTTCTCGCTGGTGCCAGTATCTCGCAGTCTGTATCCTGTAATCTTGTCTGCCACGACATCCTTCTCTTTGACCTTATGTCTTTATATACTCTGACAACAAAAGAGAATTCCTCTAGGCCTCGTAACATGATCCCAGCAACCCCGCTCTTACCCCGCTTCCCGCTATTTCTTTATACTTCTCTTGTCTTTTCTTCACCCCACTTTGCTCGACCATTTGACTTCCCTCTCCCCTCCTCGTGCAGTGCTACAGGGACTCAAGCAACCCCAGAACCTTCGACCCCTCTTTATAAATGTTGAATGTCTGAGATACGTGGTATCCATTAGCGGCCTCATTCCCAATGCGTTATTCGAGACAATCCCAATACCCTTACCGGAAGCCTGATACAATGGATATAGATGGTCGAATAGGGCTGTTACTGAGATGTATTGGATAGGTTAGAGTTGGCTGCTAGTCGAGCGCACGAGACACTGGTGGATTTCATATGTCATTGGTTAGTTTCTCTTGTGTTTCTTCCTGTTTCACTTTTTGCCAATGCTCTCTATAAAAGTTTTTTGTTTTCCCTTTAGTTACAGACTATCATCGAAAATTCCTATTCTCCTGCTGTCAAATACGTTGATCAATTCATTCTTTGTTTCGCTTTATCCTTTTCAATCTACATAGGTAGAAACTTAATCGCTAGACTATTATTCTTAGTCAACTGCTGCTGCCCACCATTGAGTATATCGAAGGTCAATTACAGTCAAACCTCAAATACTTTACAGGTTATAAGCCTGGGTTCAGTACACTGAACCACAATCCTGAAATCGATATTGGCAAACAAATGCACACAACAGTCCCCTCAAAACCTCATTTCCCCAACACCTTGTTTCCTGAGACACCTTAGTCAGCGTCATGAATGACTCTACAACTGAAACGAAAACCATCACAATCACTCAAATTGACAAGCTGCGGGGTATTGACAATTTCCATGGATGGCGATCAATAACCACCACGTTCCTTGATATCATGGATCTATGGAAACTTGTACCGGCGACACAACTAAACTGGCAGATCCCACTTCTGTTAAAAAGTGGATATCGTCCTCGCAGAGGGTGAAGGGCTTTCTCCTACTGAATGTCGACAAGGCACTAATACCTCTGATCTCCAGTGCCACAGCTGCTCCGACAGCCTGAAAGCGACTACAAGAGAAGTTTGACTGTAAAACAACCTCTACACTTCATTCGCTAATGAAGAAGATACTCATAATACGCTGCTCAAACAAATCCGATATTCCTACCCATGTGGAACAGTTTGATAAACTATAAGACCACCTCCTACAGGGAACCTCTGAAGCCACAACAACTGCCTCAACTGATGGCTCTCACCCCTGTGATAATGAGACTCTTGAAACTCTCCTTTACCCTCTCACCTCATCCCCTATCGCAAATGGAGGATTTTACATTACCTCTCTTCCTTCCTCAATCCATAACATTATCAATAATCTTACCACTCAGGAGACAATAACTTCTATGAATATATGCAATAAACCTCTTGACCCCTACCCAGGAACCTTGACTACCTCTATTGAAAACACTACTTTTGTGGCTACTAATAAGCAATACCACCACAATGGAGGTAACCAGGGTAAGGAATGGAAAGGACAGAGTAAGATTTGTTGGTATTGTAAATCTAAAGGATTTGATGGAATAGGACATGTGGAATTGGAATGCCGAACAAAGAAGTATGAACGGAATGTGACCTCCGCTATTGCCACAGTAATAACACAGTCTAGTGACACCAGTTATGCCTTCGCTGTGAGTGAGACAGGATTTCTCAAAGGTACCTGGATCCTGGTTCGTTGTACAAGCAGTGATATGATGAATGACCTCAATCTCTTAGATGAGAGGTGACCCATTCAGATGGCGATAACGATTGGAAATGGAGAACAAGTTTGGGCAATGGCTATTGGACAAGCTATGGTCACTGCTCTCCTACACTCTGGCTTTTTGCAAGAAGTCACCCTTCCCAACACCCTTTTTATCCCTAAGCTCCACTTTTTTCTGATGTCATGGCATAAGATTACAGAAGATGGAGCAGAAAAGATAGGAGATATTGAGGGAACAAAAGTCTACAAGG